TAGTTTCTTTCTATTCTGGAATTAAAAAAAAAAAAAAAAAAAGACAAACAAAAAACTCACAAAAACCCAACCAAACAAAACAAACCACAAAACCCAAAACCAAAACACCAAAAACCAGGAATCAGGAGATAGTATATCTAGGATTCTTTTTTATTACAATGATATACATGATCTTCCTAAAAGGACTGAAACTAAAAGATCCTCAACTGAACTTTATATATTGAGATTCACTTGATATGGTTGGTGAGTGCACCTCAGTTTTGCAATTCATTTTTGTAATAACTTTGGAGAGTTTCTTTAAAGCCTTGTCAAGGTATTTTTATGTCATCATCAATATTTTAATCAAAAATTGGATATGAGAAACAGGCAGTTTATACATGAACAACAATTAGCTTTAGCATCAATACCAAATTATTTTCCATAACCCTAGTAGAAATAGTTTAAAAATTTCACATAAATAAAAAAGTGAGAGAATATGATACACACACACAAAAAAATGCAGATCACAGTCATGTTTTACAGCCAGAATGCCAACATATCTTTTACAGAACTATCGCTTCAATTGCTTACAAATATGAGGAAATACGGCTTATTCAGCATGTCCGTAGGGGACAGAAAGAGATGCTTCTCTGGAGAAGAAGATTTGAATATAATCATTAAAATAATTCTGTCTAGCAAAAGTTTGCAATTTTGCTTTTGCTAGCTTTGCAAGACTGCGCCAACTTTTACTACATTTTTACTCTTCATTTGTTCCAGCTCCTGTATATTTAGGAGACTATGTACAAAACATGGTAAGAATGGTTTGGTCTGCTTGGATCAAAATCCTTTCATCGCTAAACCACTGCAACAGCACACTGAAATAAATAAAAACAAAAGCTCAGATGCTGTCTTTCTGGGCTTACATGGGTATCAGTTAATGAAGCATAGGTCATATTGTTATCTTTTCTAAGTTGCTGAATACCTTTTAATAAGATGTACAGAAAGCACTGTAATCACCTGACAAACGTTACTGGAGTCACATTGAGATCAGTGCTAGGTGGTTCCGAAAAGCTGACTGAGCAAAACTCAGTGTCTATTGTCAAGGCTTTTGTTATGTTAAAATAAGAACTCACCTGATTCCCGTGCTCAAGTTGCTGGGAAACTTTCCATTATAAAAGATCTTTGCAGCTTTTCCAGTTCAGTAATCAATTCTTGAATTGTTTTCAGCAGGCCTTCAGAGTTCAGAAGGTCTAGAGAAATTACTTGTATTAGTTCTGTACAAGTTTGCAAGATGTAAACTTTCAAAAGATTTCTCTCCTCCAACAATTTCATAACAGATATGCCTATCTCCCTTTAGGCACACAGCTCCTAGGGTGGTGTTTGTGTCTCTGGATAAGCTATCTAAATGCAGTGCACAATGAATGGGAGAAGAAAGCATCTCAGGAAGATGATTTAAAGCAGTGATTGTGCAAATTCTTTCATTCTATGCAAGAATTTCTTGGTTTGGTTTTAAGAACTACAACTGTGAATATATCTGCTTCTAAAATACTCAGCACCTTATCCCTCAAAAAAAGAAGGCGGGGGAGATTCTGGCCCTTGATCATCTCAAAGAAGCCTCTAAGAAACATTTTTGACCTCCCAGCAGACCCTCCTTTGCATAATTAGCAACTTAAAAACATCCTTGGCTCTCCTATTAGCAACCAGGTTTTCCCAGTCTCCTTCAGGCTGTTTCTGTGCTTTGTTTGGAACTGTCATTGTTGGCCTTTTTTTTAAATTACCACCTTTTCTTTTTTTTTTTTTCTAATTGTGCCTGCTTTGATAACAAAGAAGAGTTAAAGCCTTCAAAACTTCAAAAAGAGATGTTTTATGAATCCCTGTTATGTTAGACAGCTGTGAACAGCAAGCTGTTCAGACCAGGGCACCTTTGAGCAGAAACTGAAATTTGGGAACATTAGTATCAATATCAGCGATCTGTTTTCCCTGATTTTACGTTATGATTCTGTACTTGGGTATCTCAGTTCTGCCTGAATACTGGTAAAGATTCCAAAGGTCTTTACTAGATAGATTTTCTGTTGTGCTTTTCAGAGAAATCTATTTACAAAATGCTATAATTAAACATAATCATTGTAAACACTGGTACCCTACAAATGAGCCCTCTCTCCAAGTAAAATTCTACTAAAGCCTACAAAAAAGTACTTGCTATCTTATAACTACATAACGGTGTGGCTGTTAAAATTCCAGCCTTGGTCATGGCTCCACCAGAGTTTGAGATGAAGCAATTAGCATATGTTAGGTATTTCACTATAAACAAAGATGTCTTTATAGTGTAAATTTTGTAGTCTAGTTATTGGATCATTACTGAGGAGCGATCAAAAAAAAGACAGAATATTTGTCAGGAAATTGCTGACACCACCACAAATAAAGAAGAAAAATTCAAATTGTGTGTCTAAAAAAAATTCAACAAATAAACAAGCAAACACAAACCAGCTGTTGCACTAAGAACAAAAGAAGAAAAAAAAAGGGGAAAAGGAAAATTTCATTTTAGAAGAGCTTCACTGGAGTCCCTTTTTGTCCCAAAAAACAACAGAAATTAATCATCTCTGCTGGCATGCCAGAGTTAGTTACAGACTAAAACATTAGTCCTGCAAGTAAATACAAGTGAAGATCTTGCTTTTAGAAAACTCCTGTAAAAATCAATCTAGCAGAGGAATAAAATCAGGCATTTTCTTCCAATTCCAGCAAGCTGACAAAGGAAAGAATTAGATACTAAGCCACAGTGTGCATGAATTAATCAATATGGAATTTGAATATATCTCCATGATAGTTGGATTAAGATGAAGAGAAAATTATTGCATGGCAAGGAATAGGCTGCTAGAGAAACAGACTTTTTATTCTTAGTAAAATACTTTGTTAAATCACAATTTAATGACAAATGAAAATTATAAGGAAAAAAACCTGCCTCAGTCTTTATATGGGCACTATGTAACATGCATTTTCTTTAAGGACCTAGCACAAATAAACAGCATTAGTAACTGACTTGAAACAGTGGGTGATTTTAACTTCTTCTACTCAAGACTTGACATTTCGTTATAAAACTTATGCACAGGCCATATTGTAACTATATTTGCAACTATATTATGTTTAAACTATAGTTATTACTTCCCCTGCAAGCATTTGGCAAACAGAAGAGCTGAAATGCCCCATTAAAGTGAGAATAGATATGCTCAAGAACAGTGGTTAACAACTGAAAATGACCTAGTAACAAATTAAAATTTGATACTAGCAAACTCCATCATTAAAAAAAAAAAAAAAAGGCAAGTTACCCCCAACTCCCTCTTAACATCCTTGTTAAATGCAGTAAATCACATTTTCTGCAATAGAACAAGTTAACAAACAGCTTAAGGACCAGAAAGCTAGAGCAGAAGTTCAAGGCAAAATTAATATTCCCAAACTGTAATACAAAAGTGGTGCCAGCTGTCAGGGCCCAGCAGCCCAGAGTTTACTGATGTTCCACAGTCCAGGACTTTTCCAATTCTTTGCTCCCATACCACAATATTTGGAAGTCAAGCGAGCAAGGTTCTCAGTATGCACAGAGCAGGGGCTCTTGTCTTCCCTGGGGTGGATGGCAATGAGTCCAGGATTGAGGACCTGGACCTTCTGCTTAGCAAAACCAATGGAAAAATCCCCATTAAATTATGAAAAGCAAGATGAGAGCTTGATACCATTAATAGCATTGATATAATCCTAATAATTCTTTATGTTAAGACTTCAGTGTTTACATCAGGAAAAAAAAAAGTACCCAACAAAACACCAAAACCCAAAAGATATGGAAAGAGGTCCAATACCAAAGATATGTTACAGAAGTGAAGACTTAACTTCTACCACTTCCTCCTGAATTTCAGTGATTTAATATCAAATCAGGTGAACTCTAATACTTTTTTCTACTAAGGTGGACTTTTCCTCTTTTGTGGCTGTTGCAAAATCTGATAGACTTCATGATTTTCAGAAAAATGTCTAGAATAAAGGCAAAAAGTTTTGTCTAGTAATTGACAATTCAGGCAATAACTAATAATTCATATATGTGGAGAACCCCATTTATATTAAAATACCAGTTCTGGGAAAAATGCTGTATTGATACCAGAGTGACAGTGAACTCTTTTTTAGTAAAGCTGCTCATGAGCAGCGCCTGTGCTGACAGTTTCACTCTCCTGGACGGCGGAACTCACTGGAACAAGCCTAACCTGACCAAAGTCTTCACTCAGAAGGAGGTATTTTTTCTTATTTGTCCAGAAGAATTATAACAAAATTTGCCAACATTGCGTATGACAAAATTGCAACGGTATCAGGCATTATCTTTTAAATAACAATAAAATCTAAAAGCAGGTACCATATAAGTCTGTCCACAGAAGCCTGTCATACCTGACAGAAATAAAAAATATCTTTGCTTGCATGAGAAGTATTGATAGGTGTGAAAATAGTTTGTGTTCACAGTAAGAAGTTGTGATACATGGCAGTGTGTATCATTTCGCAGTAGACTATTATTTTTCTATTAGGAGAACACTACCCCTCAGAGTCTAAAACCCGTTCTAATAAAAGAAAACTTCCCTGCTAAATGCCAAATTTCAGGTTGCAGTAATGGCAAGGTGCATCATTAGGAATAACTTACAAGACAGAGACATTTTGCTTGGCGAGTTCCCAATATCACAATTCCTTAAGCTTTAGAAAACACCATTCAGTATAACAGTATTAAAGAAATTATTTTGATGGCTGAAAATCCAAAGATCACCAGTGTTTTCACATCAGCTTAGCAGCTTTCCTGTCTTTTACAGATTAGGTGTTCATGTGAACAGGCCACAGTGCTGCTGATTTCCAGTTCCACCAAGCAAAGTCTTGATCTGTCATGGATCATAAATTCATTGTAAACCAAACATTCAGGACATAGGGGAAAGCAAAGAATACTGGCAAAAAATGATTCCACAAAAGCTGTCGAGAATTTACCATCTGTTTTATTTTCTATCCAGGTACTTCTGGGCTCTGAACAAGCTTTTGTGCCTTGGAAATTCAACAGTTTTATAGCCGTCTGAAAAAATTCCTCGTTGCTATGGCAATACCATTCTTTCACAACAAATCCTTCTTGAAGGTGAGGACATTGGCAAGATTAAATGTAAATCTTTTTATTTTTTTGATGGTGTGACAGACAAAAGTGGCCAGAGCAGGGAGAATTCCTCACCCCCAAAATAAACATTACTAGTATGATCTTCATTCAAGCAACATAAAGCAGCTGCATGATAGTGTTGTTGGCTATCCACAAAACACATCCATAATCCCCTGAAACTCACAGTGCGGTACCACTGATGCTGCTTTGTGAATGAATTGCAGTGTTCTGAATGCTGCCTTCATGTGTGGAGGTCTGTTTTAATGAAACAGAAAGTTGAGAGAGATCAATACTGATCCCCCTTTCCAAACAGCCCATTAGTGCAATCTTTGTAAAGGCAATAGGTAAGGAAATAAGATGTCTGTTAAAACTGGCAACATCCTTGGCAAGTTCACATAAAAGAGGATGCCTTGTCATTTTCTGGCAAACCCCAGCAGGAGGAAAATACAGGCAAAGTAATGAAGGCTGAAGAGTGTATGAAAAGAAAGTGACAGCAAAGTTCACTCTCCCCACTACCCTTTTTTTTTTTTTCTTGCATGCACTCTCCCCCTGCATACCAGCACACCTTCAGCTAAAAGTACCCCAGGTCTGGGCCTCAAGATGAGCAGTACACCAAAAAGACAGATATGGTAACACTTCATATCCTCCTCCTCATTCAGAACCCTCCTATAAATACAATCAGATGGCTACCAAAGCCACTGTCGACCCTGGTTGTGTAAAGTGGAAAATAAAATGAAGCCACCCCTTTGGCATTAAAAGCTAATCTATGCTTCTGCAACTCAGACATCTGCAGTGATTTACGACCAAATTCATTCCACCCCTAAAATGCACTTAACATCACAAACAGGCTCAGGGGCTACTCAAAAAAATTAAAATACAGTTCAGCATAAGCATGGCAAATCTGTCTGTTAACCTTATGGCTTTCTTCAAAAGGCAATACTGAATAAATTAATTTCAAAACATGAAAGAAAGCAATTTAAAGATAGTGTACCAATGAGATCTTTTGGCTCTCTAACAAATTGATGTCAGAAGCTGCAAATTCAATGTGTTTGACTGATTGCTTTTCAGCATGGGTAGCATCTTAGAGAGACAGGTGATTTTTTAAGTCACTTGTGTGCTTTAGCTGTCATTATTGAGAGTACTCGTATTTTGAAATCTTCAGCTTACTGGTTACATGTTTTGCTCTAATTTTTATTTTTGAAACCTGAATCAACTGCAGTTCCAAAGCATCTCTACTGATGTCACTAGCATTACAGCTAAACTGCTTTATGCCAGTCAATCATTAGTTCAGTTTATTACAGCCTGGTTTTTCCTCTCTTAAGTTCCATACTCATCTTACTCTGTCTCTCTGATTTTGTCATTTTTACAGCCTTTGCAGGATATCAGATTCATTTAGGGTTGCAGCCACCTACTGTCACTGCTCTGCTCATACCATGTTATATCACAAGGCAGTCTGGAAAGAGACTTTCCCATCAGTGACTGACTGCAGGAGTCAAAGAGGCGGTGTTCAATGCAACTTGTGTGTTTAAGTTTTTCTAATGATGGGGAAACATTGTAATAGCTAGTAACCACCTGTCTGAATGAATACGCCTGCATCATAGAACTTTGGTTTGTGAATACATGGTAAAAGACAGGCTATTCCTTGCTAATTTAATTGGTTTTAGATGTAAGATGGCTCTGGTAGAAAACAGTGGTTAAAAGCAGCATTACACATACTGCAGACTTTTTATTCTAAGTGCAAATCAGTGACTGTACTTGTTAAGATTGTATTAGAATGATAAAAAGTAATTAGAATAGACTTACTGCATTTCTAAGTTTTGAGATGCAAATACTCTTGCTTAAAAAAAACATTAATTCATCTTTTCCATGCAGGTTGCACACATTTTAAAAGTATTACCAAGAAATTAGAATTGCATTTTGAAGTCTTGTTGTCTTTTTTTTTTTTTTTAAATCTTTCACTGTCTGTCTTACTTTTCTGAAACAAGCCATTTGAAAATACTCATTCTCTCATCTGAGAAGAGAGTGGAACTACAACCCCTTTCAGGTACAGGACCATAATTTGACTCCAGAAATCTCCTGTGATAGTAACAAATGTTTCATTCCCCCACAGTTTTAGCAGGGAGCCTGTGGGCAAAGTTTGTACACTGGGCGTCAGGTCATAACTGCACATGCATGGCCACAAACCTTTCATAGGTATCAAGTCCTTTAGCCAAGATGTTGTAGGAACCTACAGCTTCCCTGCACAAGCCTGAGCTGAAGAAATGCAGCACAGCAGTCAAACACTACAGTCTCCAGCTGTCACCTGCCCCATCCCATCATCAGCAAGACTGTAGCTGAAGGACTGCCTGCAGAACACCAAACACACTCACATTATGCATCAGAAAGTCACATCCCAGAATCCTAGAATGGTTTTGATTGAAAGGGAAGACTACGTAGTTCCAACCCTCCTGCCACAGACAGGTACACCTTCCACTAGACCAGGTTGCTCAAAACAGCTTGACTTCCAAGTACTACACTTATCTGAGAAAATTAAATAAAAACAGCTCTGATTTTCTTAAGTTTTATTGCTCAATGTCTTCAGCACATATATAAGGAACTTGTAACTATCTTTTGGGAGCTCTATTTCTGACCTGTTATAGGTCACTCTTTGCCCATCAACTTTCCAAAGTAAACCTCTGTATTGGAACAAATGTCAGATCTAATCACACAAAAATCCCTGTAAGTGAAAGATAACATTTGTATTTATGGTTCTTAGAAATATTGTTTGGCTTAAGGTAACATATTCCTTGAAATGCCCCGCTAACAGACACAATAGAAGTTGTTTCACAACTAAGAGTTTCTACCCCCTTGAGAAACAAGTTTGATAGTTGATTTGTTTCCCTGATTAGGGCAGCAAATGCTATACACACAACTGTTGTATCACTCTTACACACAGTACTGAGCACGTACATTATTTTAGTTACAGTAAAACAGTCTGTTGCAAGTAGGGAGTGGCTCTCATGGCAAATATAACCTGGATTTTCAAATGTATAGTGCCTCCATCCATAATTTGTAACTCAAGGTGACTAAAGACACTGGTATAAATCTGACCTTAAGTGACTTTTAAAGAATAAGAATTTTTTCACTGAAGCTCGTAAGTCCAAGTCAAACTTTCCTTCAGAAATGCTAGTTTCAGATATTGACTTAGAAGGTGACTTCAAAAGGATCACCCACATCCTATTCCTTCATTCAGAGAAATGACACAGCATGTTTATTTTCTTGGAAATCTTATTTATCACTGGACAAGTGCTATACAAAAAAATTGGATATCTCCAATTGTGTTAACCTGGAGTATAAACTTCAGTCACATTAGGGAGTGGAAAGCAGGGCTTTTGAAAGCATCTCACTTCAACTTTTTTGAGAATCCTGCACCAAATCCGTAATTCTGTTTATCACTTGCACTGTCCTAGAGGCACCTCTGAAGAAGAATAAAACCAATGAGACTCTTCCCATTTACTTTAATCGACTTTGGATCAGTGCCAATACATGTTAAGATAAATATATATTTAATTCAGTCAAAATTTCCAAAACAGCTTCTGTTGAGATCAATAGCAAGCTCTCTGGTCTTCTGCGAAATGAGGCCTACATTCACTGCTCTGCTGTACTGCTGAAAGCTTAAGCAAAAGTAACCTGGATTAGGCAGCAGTAATACCAAACACGATTAAAAATATTTCTCTTTCTTCTGTTAATAGCTGTCATTACTTGCTGTTGCAACACTCTCCCATGTGAATAACCATCACTAATACGTCAACTGTTTCCAAAAGTCCTTTAAAGGATTAACATGTATGACTACCTGGAAAACAGTATCACACCTCCCCACCATTCAATTTCAAAGTAGATTTGCCTTGAAAAATAAAGACTACAAGGCTACAGCTAAGCTTTTGGTGAAAAGCAATTTGATTAAAGCATCAAGGCCCACAAGGGGCAAGTGCCAGCTTTGTACCAAGAAGCTGCCCTCCTGAACTAAGCAGCATTAGCTGTGCTGCCTGATCTATTTTCAGTAAGAAATTAATGAACAACATTTCAGTTTAATGGGCTGATGAGACCTTAAGAAATACTCACTTCTATCTCAGTTTATCTGACTTTTTTATTTACCTTAGAGCCATTTCTGAAACAGAGTTCAGAGCTCTGTGTTTAAAAACAATGTATTGCACAGGGTTTCTGATAATCTTGCCCTTCGTGGCTCCATAAAGAGCTGCTTTGTCCCATGTCCCTTTCCTTTCTTCCCATAGAAAGGAAATCAGAAGCAACTTCTGTCATCTTCCTTAGCCAGCACAGGGGCTGCAATTCAGCCCAGCCTTTATCTGGGGCACACTCTGCAAATGCAAAAAAAAGTCCTCAATCTGTAACTAGCTGAATAGGCATACATGAACAAAACAACTTTAGCCTAAAAGCAACCCAGTCTAACCCAAAGAAATATTGTGACATTAAAAGTGCTGGAAATACATGATAGAATGCCCAGAAAGCTTTTAATCTGGATAACTTTGAAATAAGGTTATTTTCACTTATGGGAGTCATCATGAGCACATTGCAAGTCAGTAATGAATTATTCAGCCTGTGTGTGCTTTATTCTATACCAAGAGCATTATTTGTGGCCACTTTATAAACATTCATGTCACTCTGTGTATTTGAAATTCAAGCTTGCTCAAGCTTTAAAGGGAGAGAATGCTGTAAATAATGTTTTAGAAACTTCCAAGATTGACCAAAAATGTTTTTCTGTAGATAAAGGTGACAGTAGTTTAAAGTTCAATATATTTCCACCTCCTAGGACTAGAGGCAGGTCTTCTGGGAGGGCAGGAACCTTCTTTGTGCAAGAGTATAGAGATTCAGTTTCAAGTGCTGAGGACAGAAATAATCAAACCTAAGTCACTGGTACAAGCAAAGCTGTTGCCCATTTGCACCTCAGACCTGCACAGCTCTGATCTGGGGCAGATGTGCAACAATTGCCTTCCTTTTCTGGGAGGCAAGAAAGGGCACTGCTACAGCAGAACAATTTTTAAAAATTGGCTTCTGCTTGAAACTCCTCAGGTTTGAAATTAAGTTTAACCGATAAGAAACAGTGTTTTGGGTGAGCATCAGGCAGCCAAAAGGGAAAGGAGCCTCTGCTCCCACTGTGTGGGCAGATTCATCTTTCTGTCACACTTCATGATAATAATCTCTCTGACTTTTCACACCACCTGACCATACAGCAGTCGGGCAAAGCCTGCCTACTTCTACCCTGCAGTTAAAACTCTCCTGTTGATTTTTTGCCATACATACCTATCCATATGCTCATCTATAATAACTGCTTGTTTCATTTCTCTATGCCATTTTATTATTTTAATTATCTAACTTCGAATTAGAGTTTCTCAGGATAGTTTTTCACTGCTTAGAAAGCATCAAGTATCTAGTATGTGTGTAGTTGAGGTCCTAAAGTCATTAAGGCAATAATACAAGGAGAGCTGTAAAAATATTATCAGATAAAACACAGAGGGAAAATATGAGACAGTTCTGGTCAGGGAAAAAAGACTTTAAAGTTCTATTCTTCAAGCCTTCATCTTGATTACTTAACTCTCCTCAGCTTGCTTTAATTCATGAAGTTGTGCCTGATTCTTATCTCCATGCCACTAGGTATAAAATGGCTCTGAATTAAGGAACATATATTTGATAATACCCATTATTGTGTTACTAGGCAACTATGTTCCTGTAGGAGGAGATTTTATTTACTTTCAAGTTTACATGATACTGGAAAAAACAAGTTTTGACCTTGTAAACAACTATGCACTTGAGGTTTTTTTGAAGTATACGTAAACCAGAATAGTCCTACTGAATTCAGTGTTACTAATGTCTCAAATCTTAGCAGGAGTTGGTCTGGAAAATTACATATGATAATTATTCTACAACAGGATATTCTGCAGATTGACTTAAACAGGTTTGAATGAAGTCCATTATCTAGTGACAAAATATTTTCCAGTAGAAAGGATCAGATAAACACTCAACCGTATACTGTGGAGAGCCATATTTCCTGAGCAGAAACTGAATCTGAGGCTGGCAACCAGCTGATTGTTTTCTTCCTATAATCTGACCATGCTTCTTAATGAATGGCAAAGATCCCAAAGCAGAAAGAATTAGGGTTTGATTTTTTTTTAGAAGAAAAAACACCTTTTAAAATACTTCTGTCAGTTTAGGCAAGCACTTGAATAGTAAATGGCTTTTATTTATCCAGAACAGGTATTAAGCTGAAAAATGTAGGAAATTAGATTATCTAAAAAGTTTTCTTAACCTTCAGATTCAAAAAGGAGATTAGAGCACAACAATATCAGAATATGGGGGGGGGCGGGAAAGGGGGAGGTTCATATCTAAAGAAACACAAAATATTTTTCTAATTTTTTAGCCCAAGGGAAAAAGAGCCATGATTGCCATGATTAATGGTTTGATACCACACAATCAAATCAAGCATCCAGCTCGGCTGCATGTGGCTTCACACATACAAAGGGATGTCTGGTAGAAGTGTGAGATCAACTTT